GAAAATAATCAATGATTTTTTGACTAAGTAATACCTTACCACCTCATGATTGCAATTGTCACTATACTGATTATCAAGGAAGTTAAGGTTTAACACCCCTCAGACACAATCACATAGAATATTTCTTGATATAATTACAACTTACAGCACACTTCTTAAGTTTTCATTAGGTCATTCAATACCGCAGAGTCTTGCTGTCTTGTATTCTCACTAACTTGCTGGGTTTGCTTCACATCCATAGCCCTACTCTCCGAGTAGCTAAAGATGCGGACCCTACTCTTTCTGACTCTGTGTGGTAAGAACTGGCCTTCCCTTGAGAGTTCCAACAGCAGAGGAGCCCCAGCCACTGTCCTGAAGACACTGAGCAATATCCACAGCCTTCAGAGGGGGACTGAGGGAAGCTTGTTGGAATCACCTTACTTCTGGTCACATAGCTAGGGAACCAGGTTAGTTTCAATATAAAAGCTGCCCTCTTGCCAAAGATGGGGCCACCTACCCCATCATTACCACTTGTCCACAATAACATTCAGAGTTGTTTTAAAGAAAACAAGCTCTTAGTAAGACTGGAACTCATGCTCTGTTGAGAAGTGACAATGAAAAACTCACAAAGAATGAGTGAAGTGTTTCCTGACTGATTGATGTCCTTTCGCTGTTAAGAGCCTCCCTGATCCTAGGTGTCTGAATGAGATAACAATAACTCATTGTGTGGGAAGAGTAGATAGCACATACTCCTCATTTTATCTTACTTTAACCTTTTGGCAAATACTTAGTTTTCTTTATGTAACCAGTCCTATTTCCTTGCTTAACACTTAATCACTCAAACCACAATTTTGGACAAAACAAGTGAGGCATAAAAGTTAACAGGCTTTCTTAAGATCCTTTGGTTAGACAGGGGTAGTGCTCAGATCTAAGACCAGGGAAGGTTTCATATCTTGACCCTTCTCTCTCAGAAGCTAGGATTGCTTAGACCAAAACACTGGCAAAGACCCATGAAGACACTACTCAGGTTGGCATAGTATCCCGCTTGCTGACTTCATTCATTCATTTGGTAAATGTGCACTGTGGGCCTACTGTGTGCTGGAAGCTGAAGAGGCAGCAATAAGCAGTAAAGTGTCCTTTCTTTCTCCTAATGAAAATCTCCTCTTCCCTTTCCCCGGGCCTCACACCTTCCTTCTGTCATTGCCTCGCTCACGCAGGACGGGTGCTGGCTGTGTGCCTACATCACCCAGGTGCCAGGTAGGCAAAGCAGGGGTGAGCAGACCCCAGGCCTTCAGCTCCTCAGCCTCAGGAAGCTCATGATGGGTAGAAGCAGAAGCAAGCAGTAAGAAGAGGCTTCGGGAGAGTGGAATGTGGGAAACGATGGGAGCTGCAGGCTGTTGGACATGCAGAGCAAATCTGTGCCGGTTCCATGTGTAGCAAGGGTCAGGACAGCCTTACCCCAAAAATGACCTGAATAGGGGCTGGTGAGATAGCTCAGTGGACTAAGCATCTGCTTAGGCAAGTGCTGAGCCAGCCACAGAGACCACATGTTGTGGTGCTAGAAAAATTCAGAGTCCACTAATTCAGAACCATGAGAAACATGAGAAGTTGAAGAGACACAGAGACATATAAGTGGCAAATTGCTGAAAAGAAGATTCTCCCATAAATAATGATATCTCTATCTTTCATGATCATATAAGTGTATTTAAAATCACTTACCTCTCCTGGCTTCATGCATCATCCTCCTTCTTCACCCTTGAGATTCCAAATTGTACCACACAAAATGCATCCTGCAATTTCACTGAACTTGTAACTGATAGTGCTCAGCTGGGAAGGAGGAAAATTACTCTCTATACATCCCTAACCCTGACACAGGATTGGAGATCTAGGCCCTTTTACAAGACTTTCAGTGTCTGTAGAAGATAAATTGAAAGATGAGAGGAAACTGTTTTCTTTTGCATTTGGGAAGATACAAGAATGGAAGCATCACTCCACATGAGGACAGAGCTAAGGAGATGATTTCCAACCTGCTTCCTTTAAAATCCATTACGCTGGGGCTGGCTAGGTGGCTCAGTGGAATAAGCGCTTCCCCGGCAAGCCCAAGGGCCTGAGTTCGATCCCTGGTTCCACCAAATAAATAAATAAATAAATAAATAAATAAATAAATAAATAAATAAATAAATAAATAAATAAATAAATATTAAAAAATAATAATAAAATAAAATCCATTACACTGAACTATTTATACTTGCTAAATTGCAAATACAAGGGATCATATAAATGCTAAACTCATGACATTATAATTTATTGAACACTTACAGCCCTATATCTGAGGAATCACAGAGAGTCCTTAAACAAGTGACTTTAAAAATAATACCAATTGCAGCAGTTAATGGACAAAAACAGGACATCAAAACAGGAGAGAACTTGCTTCCGTGTGCAGTGCGGACACTCACGGAGTCTCTGCTGTGAATTTGAGGATAAGTGCAACACAGTCCTGCCTCTGGGAGCTTTATCCAGTGAGCAAAGAAGGCGTTTTTAAAAATGAAACTAAGACAATTCTTTTAAAAACTCAGATTTTCAAAAAAAAAATCTATATTCTTAATGAAAGACTTTGACACACCTACAACGAAAGGCAAAATGCATACACAATCCAAGTGAGCTGTGGCCATGACAGACTTGATGCCATGTGACTTTCAGCGCCAGGTGATAAAAGGCATGACAGCTTTCTCCTGGTTCTTCTCTACATGGTCATTCCTAGAGCCCAGCCATCACTGGAAGAGGACACACACACAGAGACTGCAGCCCAGAAAGCAGTTAACATTCAGTGCCAAGCACCAGATATGGGAGGTGAACGCCCCCCAGTGGTTCAGGCCCAGCCTCCAGCTCTTCTCAGTAGCGCAATACTCAGTGCTTACACCCTGTATTGAACTGGATTGTGTGAGTAATGGCTGCCCAAGCTTTGCAGATACAATTAGTTAAATTAAAGGCATACTAGAGTAGGATAAAAGGATCCTCTCCTAGAGCTTTCAGGAAAAGCTCAACCCTGTCAATCTCTTGATTTCAGACTTTTAGTCTCCAGAACAGTGCTAGCACAAAGTTCTGTTATATTAAGCCATCTAATCTATGGGGCTTTATGCCAGAAGTCCTAAGAAAACAACCCATATCCTTCTGATCAAAATTTAGTTATGTGAGCTCACACATCTGCAGGAAAGGCCTTGGTTCTATGGTTAAAAATGATATCATATTTACATTAAAGATTTACATTTTAGCTATAATCTCTGATCGCTTCACACAGTGATTTTTATAATATCTTCTATAGAAACCCTAAAACAACAACCTTTTCTCTAACACAACTTATCAAAATTTGGGAGTGGAGAGGGTATTTATATTTTAGAACAGTGCCTTCCTGCTTCACAAATAGTTACCATGTAAATTCTAGAATTGTCAAAATTGTGACAATTGTATCAATTTCCTTTCATACCTGAGTCATTTCATGTGCATTTACTGTTTATGGTACTGCTACAGGCTAATGGGTTACAAATAGAAAATATAGCACACTTCATTTTCACAATTCCCATTAAAAGAGAAATAAAGATTGGTGTATAGATGGCTATGTTCACTGCTAGGCTGGGTGTGTTGCTGGCAGGAGATAATTTCCATTCTGGCATGGTGTCAATGATTTCTAAAATCCCAGATTTACACATGAGGTGACTACGTCAATACAATTGCTCTCTGCAGCCTTTGGGCCTATACAGTTCTACCTTCTTTACTTAGACTCTCCTGATCCCACAGACCCACATAATGGAATGTAGGAGGACCCCAAAAGACATTTCTACAATGGAAGAGCCATAGCAGCTTGGAGAACCCCATGGACATACTTTATTCAATCCAATCTAAATGCATTCCCAACTTAGTGCCCACCTAGGCCAGATTCCAAAGTCCCCGCATCTAACATCAAGAGGTGTTACAGAGGAAAGTAGGAACAGAAAGAAAATTGATTCTCACCTGAGCAGTGTTAAAATAGATCTCTTTTGCAAATATTTTTGGAATCGTGCAAGCATATTGTTGTGGATCCCTCCCAGGGCATTAGAAGAACTGCAACAGCCAAGAGCCCCTGAAGCTCTTTCACTGGCTTTACACTGGATTCTCTTCTGCCAACAAAGACGTGTCACCGACTGGCCATAAA